CAATCTACCCTAGGAATGTGGTATTATAAAACGATTTAGGTGTTTGCCGATTCAAAGAACACGTATTATTTCAAAATATAATATTTATATGTGTAGTGTGTTTAAACAATAATTGCTAAAACGCCTAATGGTTATTTTTTTAAAAAAAGGTATGTATATTAGTGTCTTGAGTCACAAAATATTATGACTACTTGACTTTTTAAATCTTCTTTTGGATATCAGTTGCAGAAACCGAACATTTTGTAAATCACTACCATATTATTATCCGTTTACATAGTATACCTACGCCATGTTACATCAACTCTAATCAATAAAAACACGTTATAGATGACAACTGTATTTATTTAAGAACATACTTCGTGTAGCAAGGTTAAAATATTGAGTATTCATTTTTATCAACCACCGCCAAAGGTTAGGCAAGACAGACACGGTACGGCCCCAAATTTTAAAGGGCCTCACCTTAATTACACACAGTTTTTTTTTTTTTTTGTGAAAATCAAAATCGTATTTATTTTCTGTGCTAAAGCGAAAATAATAATACATATATATTTTATTATGTATTCAGACGATATCATAGCAAATAAAACTAACAAAATGTGTTATTAAAAAAATTTTTACAAAATACTTTTTCTACACAGTGGTATGAAAGGCATGTACTCTTAGCAACATATTTATTATATATATATATATATATATATATATATATATATATATATATATATACGAATAAACTAGATTGTAGATACAATTTTTTTATTAACATGTTTATAACTGCTATCACTGTTTATAACAATTACAAGTAAAGTTGATAGTACAGAATGAAAGGTATATATATATATATTTATATATTAATTATAAATCCCACAATAAAGTAAATTAAAAAATTAATCTAAAAAAACGTTTTTATGCGCTTTAAAGAGTATGAAATACTCTTTAAAGCGAGACCGGGGGTCTTGATAACCAAATAGGGCAGGTGAACTAGAAAAATGTGGGGCGCATCTTTCTAATTAGATATTAAAACCTAAGCTTTCATGCTAATGCATTAAGTTGTCTCTCATAATGCTGTCTCTCTAAGCGAACGCATCAGAAAGTGATAGTAAGACTTTTTATTGGAAATTAAATTTAATGGATTTACGTGTCACTTGCCACATTGCGAAGGACTTAATTGCTATTCTCTCCAAAGTTTTTTTTATGTAGGTTGCTTCAATTTTTTTGTTAACTACCTACTTGCTTAACATTTAAAGTAATGTGGTGCTTAATTTTACATGACATGTCATTAAGTATTATTTTATTTATAAGAGAAAAGATAATTGTGTATGAATTATGAGTTATGGTAGTAATTAATGAGAAGTAGTAAAGATGTGCCCCACGTTTTTCTAGTTCACCTGTCCTATTTGGTTATCAAGACCCCCGGAAAGTTATTTTATACTTTTTAAAGCGCATAAAAACGTTATTTTTAGATTAATTTTTTAATCTACTTTAGTTATTTTGTTCTTTTTTGTTTTCGTATGTACGTATCTATGTATCATGAGTACATGCCTTTCATACCACTGTGTAGAAAAAGTATTTTCTAAAAAATTATTTTATAACACATTTTGTTAGTCTTATTTGCTAGGATGTCACCTGAATACATAATAAAATATATATGTATTATTATTTTGTCTTTAGCACAAAAAATTAATACGGTTTTGATTTTCACAAAATAAAAAAAAAACGTGTGTAATTAAGGTGAGGCCCTTAAAAGATGGAGGCCATACCGTGTCTTTCTTGCCTTAACTTTGGCAGTGGTTGATAAAAATTAATATTCATAATTTTACCCTTGCCACACAGTATGTTCTTAATAAATACAATTGTCACCTATAACGTGATTTTAACGATTGGAGTTGATGTAACATGCCGTAAGTATATTATGTAAACGGATAATAATATAGTAAAGATTTATAAACTCTTCGGTTTCTGCAACCGTTATCTAAAAGAATATTTAAAAAGTCAAGTATTTATACAAAACATAAATACTGTTTAGAATTTCCCAAAGTAAAAAAAATATTCAATATATATATACTTTTTTTAATATATAATTTATAACATGATATTACAGAATTATGACTAATAATAATTTTATATTGAAGTTAAAGTGTAGCAATTATTTGTAATGCCTATTGTATGTAATTGAACAGTTTTAATATTACCTTTTTATTACTGTATGTATAATTTATTTGGTAATACTCTCTAGTTGGTGGAAGGATACACAAAACCCAAATTTGTAAAGTAATTTTGAGTGACTTCTCGTATAAGAGTTTCAATTTTGCCCTCCATTTGTTGTACGACTTCAAATTTGTCTTTTATGGTAGGTGGCTTAATATTTTGTCCGAAAAAAGTTTGATATACATCTTTTTTTTCAACGATCTGTGCTTTATACTCCTCTGGTATAATACAATAGTTGCTTGCAAAATTACTCGGTATCGTAAAAAGAGAATTGATGAAAGAGGTAAATTGGTAGCTTAGTAGCCTAAATTTATTATTGTAGCAAACATCGTCTTCTCCTTTATAATTTTTTAAAACTTGTATGTCTGTAGATATCTATAATATGACAAGTTGTACACTAAATTCTTTTAATGCAGGTAAAAACACATCATAATATTCTTGCGAAACCAGTCCTTTTAAAAAACGCAATGCTTGAAACATGTAGTCAAACATTAACCGACAATTGTTAAATTGTTTTATCGCAGAATTTAACATTTTCCAGGGATTCAATAAATCGTCAAGATTTTCAATGGATGTCGACGAATTATCAGTGTAACTACTTTTGTCAAGACCGCCTTCATTAGCTATTTTTTTTTCTACACGTGTCGAATGCTTTTCATTTTTTGGCTCGTGTGTTTCGAATGTGTTGACATGTGCTATGACTTTGAGTCACATTTCTGCTTTGCACAATTTGACAAACACGTCCGGACGTGAAATACCAAAATTGAAACCAATACAGTTATAAAGACAAACATTTTCTTATGATAATGTAAATTAAGTCACGATTTTTATTTTATTTTAGTGAAACTAACTTAATTGAGAAATGCAAGAATGAAACTAAGATGTTTATATGGTTTCAACTTACACATAAGACTACGTTTAAACTTTTTTTTTTTACAGACTACATACAATTTTTTTTTTTTTTATCTAAAAAAAAAAACACATTTTCGTTGTCTTACTCCTATGATTGACAGCCTAAAAGCTCAAATCGACAGCGTATAGTGTAAACATTGTACGGTTTAGTTGCGTTAGGAAATCAAAAACAACGGCAAATCTAACACAGCACCAAGAATTACACAGTGAATATTATTCAACCTAAATTTATGTTACATCAAAAAACGGTTAAGTTAAATTTTCTCAATTTTTTTAAATACATCAATCCGTCAAAGAACACTGATGATAAAGTATTTCTGAAGTGCGATTTAACATATTTTAGTTATGAGATACCACGCTCACATCTTACTTGAGTGCAGTGGCGGAACTAGATCTTCTGGGACACTAGTGTAAAACTAAATATGTTTTCTGTCTTATTCCCTTGGAATTTATATCCCTGTTTTCGAAAAATGACTTTTGAAGAATCGCTTTTACATTACTTCTCAAGCAACAGTTTTATCATACAAAAAATGTTTTTAACAATATCTGATATAATAATACAGGGTGATCCAACTAACGTAAGTCACTTATTTTCGCTGAAAGCATGAATATATTTTTTTCTTCTAAACTTTTAGGTACATACGAGTATTTTACTACATTTTTCAATATTTTGAAAATCTTATCACCAATTCTCATTAGCTAAAAAGGGGATTTTTTTTTAAATGGCAGTATACTTTTAATTGTATAAATTTGTAAACAAAAAATTTTAAAAATATGTTAGCGTTTGAATTTTGAATTTTCTTTTATTTGTTTATTTTTATTTTTTAATATGTTCAATCGTTACTACAAAGACAAATAGTTTTATTACATAGCATAAAAAGCAATTTGACGTGTTACCGAACTGTGTATCATAGCCAGATTTAATAAATTACCTGTAATCTAAGTAAGCTGTAGATAACAACCGATTGTCTATCAGTATTTTATAATCTTTGATAGTGACAATCCTAGTTGTTAGAATGTTATCGCCAGCTGGAATTAAAACTCTTGTTAATTAAATATTACTTTTTTTCATAGAAAATTGAGCAGCACTCAAACCGTACAGGTTGATCTATTTATTGTAGAACTCTCATTTTCTAAGAATTTTAAAAATGTTTTACTTTTTTTTGAAGCTAAGAAAATTGTACATAAAATGTGTAAATTTCAAATTGGATTCTTCATAAAAACACTTAGGAAAACCAAAAAAAAAAAAAAGAGGAGAAAATTCATAGAAATTTCGTAAAACCAACCACAGTAATCAAAATAGTTGAAATAGTTATGTGTAGTTCATTTTTTCGACTTTAAATTTACACATATGATGTAAAATTTCCTCATCTTTCTGAAAAAAAAATTAGAAAAATACTTAATTTTTGAGCAACACGGAAAACCTGACATTTTAGATCATAAACTCAATATGAATGACTTTGTGTAACTTGAAAAAAAAATAATTTTTTTTTCATAAAGCTGAGATTATTTTACATAAGAAACTGATGTTTAATAAAAAAAAGTTATAATTTCCGAAGATACTCATATTACAATAAGCCGTTAAAAAAGAAGAAACTAATAATATTTTTATACGACCATTCTTATAATCTATTTATTTATACTTATTTTTATTTAACTATACTGTTATTTCTAATTTGTCATTTTAAATATTAAAAGAAAAAATATACTAGTTTTGGAATTAAAAAAAAAGATTTTTTGATATATATATTTTATTGAATTGAAAGACAGTGTCTAAATAAGACTTGGACAACATTTTATAATTATTATGGAGACAAAACAATAAGTAATTTTTATTACAATTTAGTATTTTTGAATATCATTTCAATGTTAATCTTAAAATTGCATCTTATCGGTGATCTACTGATGGTCATTCGCTAATCGGGGCTTTGGGACTTGGAAAATAAGCAAGGTTCACGGCTCTGCTAAAGGCACCAAAGTATAATTTTTGTCCATTACCTGAAAATCATCAACATAACATAATTAAAATATACAAATTACTTTAAATAATATAAAATAATCAATATTAAAATGTTTTGTTGTTTTATAACATAATATGTGAACCCAGGGAAATATAAAATGTTTCAAAACATCTTAAAAGTTTAGACCATTAACAGTTTTGATGGTTTGGAGTGGCCAATATATGAATTAAGTAATTTGTAGTTAATATTTTTGTGAGTGGTTGTTGAAAAAGAGGTCAGGTTGGGTCGAGCAAGTTTAAGATTGAATTAAAATAATAAACCAAGTAGTATAAGATTACAATACTGTAAAACTACATTCTTCTGAGCTAACAATTATTAAGTACAGTTATTACAAATAACATTCACCTTTAGGTTCTCCGTACTGATTCATAATCGGTATTAGATGAAACTCAGTATACTTTGTGTAGTATGCTTTCAAATCATTCATGTTTATATAATCTCTGACATCATCTTGGATTATTTTTTTAAATATTTCATGCATCCCCTAAACATTATTACGTGTACAAACATGAACAGTGATATTAAGAATAAAATATTTTAACCCAATTATTCTACTTTAAGTTAGCTAAATTTTATATAATTATATTAGCAATTCAAATGTTTATGTAGAAGATTGAAAGCGGGCAGTATCTAAAAAAAGATTTAAATATTGGTAGTATTTAAGAAAAAAAAAGTGTTTTTAATCAATTCGCCGTGATAAAATTATGCGACTTTGGTTGGTCCACTTGGATTTTTGTAAAATGATAGAAACTTATTGGTCTCTTTGCCGGTTTATAGCCACCGCTATTTATTTAATAAATGCCATTAAAATAAAGTAAATTTGAAGCTGTTTTAATATTAAGTACAATATTTTAGATCAAAAAATATATAATAGTTTTTCAACAGAACTAGTTATATCTTTACTTTAGAATTGAAATTGGACCATTCTGAGAAGTCAAAATTTAGTCAGACTTATGGTCTAAGTCCTAAGAAGTCTAAAAAACTGTCGACTTTCAATTCCCTATTAAGATACAATATTACCCTTGTTTGAAAGGGAATATTATGCATTTTAAGTAGCTATGTGAGTTTTCCATTAACGATTTCTATTTTTAATTAGACAACTTCTAATGATTCATCTATTTAGTTAATGTATGTTATTATTATTTATGAAAAACTAGAATTGTCGGAAATAACATAATAATTTTGAAATAAAACCTACAGGGCATCTTGGTATGAGGCCTAGATTCACGGCCTTTGTAAACGTTCCCTTGTCAAATGTGTGTTCTGTTCTACCTAAAAACATAATATAATTTGTGTAAAGTATGAAATTTTAGAGTTAATACAAGCGTGTAGAAAAATTTACACAAAAGTTAACTATCGCGAAGTCTAATATTATTTAATATACATAATTTAACAATTTTTCTTTATTCTTTTCATTAATAGTGCACCTGATGTAGGATCAGTTATTCTTTCGGGGACGATTTCTTGTAATACTTCCAAGAGTTCTTTTATGTCATCATTTTCATAATATTGACCTATGTCGCGGAATGTAATATATTCTCTATCTTCAGATTTTATGCTTTTCCATAGATTATCGATTTCCTAAAAGAAATGATAAGTGTACATCATTTTAATTTCCGTTTAAAATTATAAAAAGAATAATTTACTTAAGTAGATTATAGTAAGACACTTATTTTCTCTGGAAATTAACATTTTTTAATTTTTATGTTTTAGAAAATTTATAATTATGTTATTATAAAGTAGAACTAGAAAACTACCAACTGTTTACTGACTGTGCAACATCAGTAGATCAAAATTAAGCATTAACTTATTAAGCTAATAACTTTATCTAATGTTAATAAACCTACCAGCCGTTTAATCCGAAATGAGCCCAAATAATAACGTGCGCACATAATTAAACCTATTTATCTAAGTTACATAACAATTTAAACATATTACATCTGATTTCAAACTTGGTACGAGGCCATTCTTCGCGATTAACTCAAATTGTTCGAACGTCAATCCATTGTATTTTTCTCCTAGAAACCATGACATAGTATAAAAAAGCCACTACAGTGGTTACGGGGAAGTCGCAGGTTTACAGGAATTTTCAATAACAAAAGTGATAAAACCATTACCGTAGAAAAAAAATTGAAACCTAAAAATTGTACTTTAGTACTCAAAACTTATTAGGATCACGCTAAATAGACGGCCATAAATATATGGACCCACTGTGTGGGAAATGGGTATGATTTAAATCTTAAATTACAAATTAAGTCCAAAATTGTATATAATAAGTATTCTACAATAACTAACCATTCTTCTATGTATAGCGTTTATTTGAAAGTAATTTTATCATGTTACCTCCCCCGCCTCACTATGCCTTGACCCAGCTTGCCTTAAAATTATTTGTATCGATATATTACATGTGTTAGTTTTAAAGTATTAATAGTTGAAAATGGCATAACGATTATCAACAATAAAGTCATTGTAGTTAATGTAATCCTAGCCTTGCCTTACTTAAATTATCCCATAGATCTTTTATTTCCTAAAAATATAAAAATAATATAATTAATGATTTTTAATTAACGCGTTTTTACTACAAATTAAAAGTCCTAAAACGCATATTCAAAGAGTGTCAAATTTACGTTGGTATATTATGGTTATGTTGAAATAAAAAAAAATCTTTTGATATATTATTTGACAACTTAATAGATGAGGTAATAATAAAGCTATACACTAGGGTGGTTCCAAAAAAGCTTCATATAATTTTATTTTTGTTCTTATTTTGAGAACATATTTTTTGAACAAAAAAAATGTCTAAAATACTTTTTGTAAGTTAGGTTTTTATTTCTTAAAGTGTATTAGAGCATCGTTAATATTATTATACTTCAATAAGGTAAATATCGAAATTAAAAAAAAAAGCAAATTTTTGTTTAAGCGAAAAAACGTTTAATAAAAGTTGAACTTTTAGTAAATAATCGATATCTCAAAAATAGTTTTGAAAACTTTAGTAAAGTAGGCATTTATTGTAAAAAAAGTCTTATTTACTTAATTTTTTTGGAATCAAATATACTAAATAAACTTGTATACTATTTATTAATATTAAGAAATTTCAATAAAATTAATAGTCATAATGATTTGTAAACATGAAACATGCATAGGGAAGTCATTGTTGACAAAATTATAGTTACCTCGTCATCGAGTAATTTTACCGCCGCAATAGAAAATATTAAACACATTGATATGATGTACTTTACTTCCATTTTTATAAAGAACATTGTTCCTATTGATAAGCTTACTAATTTGAAAACTCAACTGGACTTAACTAGATAAAATCTATCACACAAATGATCGTTATGCAAAATCGTAGCTTGTTGTGTAATGACTGTTTCAAAAAAAAATTTTAAAAAAATTACTACGTTGTTCAATTTAATAAAAAAGTAGGAGTACAGGTTTAAGCCACAACGTTAAACGTTGAAGGGACACGTGTATCAATTAAAGACACCTATTTTTTTACGACGATATATCAAACCTGAAAGTCAAATGGTTATGTTTTGATCTAAATTAAAGTATATAATATATTGTATATATCAAATTAATTTTACATGTAAATCCCAAGCTATATTATTTTCATTTAAATTGTATTTGGATAATTAATTAACCCAGTACAGCTATATCCGAAATCGACAAGTTATGGTTAGGTATAATATGTTATAATTACTGATACCTACTATAGGATAATACCAAAGCCAGCTTATTAGTAGATTAAGCATGTAGACTTTACTAGAATCACTTTTGTGATACCACAGTAAACGATAAACATATTATCTAGATGTTACACAGTTGAGAAATGACACAACATCCAGCCTACACGAGAAATATGTTGTAATGAAAGTGTATAATTAGGTGAAATTATGGTTCCCAATAAAGTATGAGTGAAGATATATAAATGAACAATAGAGCTGCTTCACCGTTATGAGGTTAGATTAGGTTTTAAATTTGTGGAATAAAAAAAAAACAAACAAGAGGCAATTTTATTTTGATAAATTTCAAACTGAATGATTTTTTTATACAGTAGATATGATTAATGATTTTATAACAACTAGGTACTATTAAATAAAACAGAAGTAAAAAAATTGTTAAAACTTAAGTGGGGTATTGTAATTACACTATTTACACAATTTGTGGGTACTCCCAATGAGGAGCTTGACTTGTCTGCCCAGATATAGTAAGTATGAGTAAGTTTCTTACAACGATAGCAATTTTGTAGTTTTGGGTTAGGTTCTTTAGAAATGTTTATATTATCACAAATGAGTGATAAAATTAATCTAAAAAAACCATGGCTAACTTTGTAAATTATTATAATATTAAATGTTTTTAAGGCAAATCGGTACAAACGCCGCTTGAACGTTTTTGATATTTGTATAGTACACACGGGCTTATGTGCGCTTTTTGAGTACTATGGCGGTTTTCTATTTTAAGTTGTTACATTTTGAGTTTTATGACACTTGCATGCACGAAACGATTTTCAAAAAAACATCAGCAAAATTCACAATAAGTAAATACAGGGTCTGGCAAAAAACGCTCGAGTGACAATACCTTGTTTTTTTAAATATTTTAATGTACTACAATGCTAAAATGCTTAGGTTAAAACTCAAAATTAACACAAAAGTCACGTAAAACTATTTTATAATATACTTAAAACACGATTTCTTTGGTTTTTACAGACTTTTTCACAATGTCTATTGCAAATGAAACAAGTAATAACAAAGATCTGTCGAAAGTGCTGTAAACTAAAATTGACAATAATAATACAGGTCACAAATAAAATTCAAACTCATAAAAAATCAATTGTTATTGTATTGTTAGATATAACAACAAGGAAAACTTGAATATTTTAAATAATATATAACTAGGAATGTGTTCCTTATAGTATGTAACGGGAAAACAATTTTTGAGGCCTGTAAAATTGGGTGTCATACCGTGCCTAACTTATGGGCGGTGGTTAATAAAAATAAATACTCAATATTTTAACCTTGCCACACGAAGTATGTTCCTAAATAAATACAATTGTCACCTATACCGTGTTTTTATCGATTGGAGTAATATGACGTAGGTATATTATGTGAACGGATAATAATATGGTGGTGATTTATAAACTCTTCGGTTTCTGCAACTGTTATCCAAAAGTTACATACAGTAAAAGACAAATTTAAAGTCGCACAACAATTGGAGGAAAATATTGAATCGCTTATAAGAGAAATCACTCAAAATTACTTTACAAATTTGGGTTTCGTGTATACTTCCACTAACTAGAGACTACCACAAAATAGATAGTACAAAATAGTTATAAAAAGGTAAGGTAAGGTTAAAAAAATTTTTGTTGAATTGATATGTAACACGATTTTTTGGTATCTGGGGCCTTATTATGAAACCGTACGGAACGATTCCGTTTACGGAATTACGTTCGTATCTTCACGTTCGTATGGCAAAATTATTAAAATAATTATAATTGTTATCATTATTACTATTAGTATTATTATTATTATATATTATAATACATTTTATAATTGTATTGCTTAATATTTAAAAATTATATTTTCGCTGGAAATCAAATATTAATAACAATTTCAAATTATTTAATTCCTAATAATTTAATTAGTATAGATACTTATGTAACTGTAATAATTATAATAAAAATAATACTAATACTAATAATGATAACAATTATAATAATTATTAATTCTATTAGTATTATTTTAATAGTTATAATAATAATACTCATACTAATAATGATAACGATAACAATTATAATGACAATTACGATGATAACGATAATCATAATTATAATTATAATAATACTAATAATGATAATAATGATGATGGTGATAATGACAATGATAACAATTATAATAATTATTATTTTAATAATTATAATATAATGAATGTATAATATTGTTATATTGGTATACGAAATTATTCCGGACGGTGGAGACCATCCGTAATAATTTCGTACGGAATATACAAAATAATTCCGTACACCAACGCTTTTTTCCTACGGAGGATGGTTCATACGAATAATTCCGTATACGGAATCGTTAATTCTGTATACGAAAACGTTAATTCCGTATACGGCATCGTTCCGTAAGGTTTCATAATAAGGCCCCTGGTCACGTTTGCGTCCACCAAGTGGCCACTGAGTGGCCGACATGTGACCGAAACCAACATAATATGTTAAGTGACACAACAATCAGTTAGAATTTTATTCTCAATTTAAAGTCATTAGAATTATTTTATATTAAATTATGGGTCGGATGCCATATATTGGTTTTAGTCACATGCCGGCCATTCAGTGGCCACTTGGTGGACGCAAATGTGGCCGGATACCAAAAAATCGTGTTACATATCAATTCAACAAGATTTTTTTCGTTAGACAATTTTCTAATGAGAAACGAGTTCAATCTTAAATAATTTTAAAATTAAAAAAAAACGAATGCCATTTATTGTACCCATAACACCCTGTATATATATATATATATAATAAACTAGATTGCTAACTAGTGACAAGAATAAAAGTCGACGTCCGCCATTTTTGTGGAATTTATGTATGTATATTCAGCTAATAGCTTATAAAATTTGTTGAACAATTATTTAGTATAATTTAAAATAAAAATTATACATTACTCCTCAATTCTTCAAAAGGCCGAAGACAAATCTTATACATTAGGTACCGATTTACTTTTTATATAGTAGTATGGGCGTCTCCATTTTCCCCTTCCCATAAATAATATTCTCTGTATATCTGTAAGTTTTCTGTTAGGTTAGCCGTTGTTTTTGATTTCCAAACGCAGCTATATTGTAAAATGTACATTATGTTTGCACTAGCTCTGACTAATAAAAACTAATAACAAAATATACATAAATTACTTATGCGATCACCTGTAAATATTAAAAAAATGTAACACTAAATTCATATAATGCTTTATAATATTATGAAAAAAAGAATTGTACCTATGTTAAAATATTGCTGTCTAACATAGAAATAATACAAAAGTGACGTTTTTTTTTATTATAGTAACACTTTAAGCTATAAATTATAGTAGCAAGACAAACAAAATGTGTTTTTTTAATAGTACTGATTAATTTGTAGTCTTATCTGTTGGTTGAAACCATGAATACACATTAGTTGTATTTTTGCATTTATCGATTTGGTTAAATCTACTAAAACTAAACAAAAAAAAAATCGTGGCATTTTAATTTATCGTAAAAAAATGTTTTTCAACGTCTTACTTACTTTGTTAGTAACTTTTTTGGTATTTAACGATCGAACATATGTGTTTTGTGCCGAAGACCCCGAAACATTAATTAACTCACTTAATACGCTTTTGGAATCACCAGGATGGGATAAGATACGCGACTTGAGAGTCCAATTCCCTAACACAACATTTGAGTCTTTCTCTGTAAGTCAATTATTATTCAGAAACGAAGATACCAAGAAAATTGTAGAATATAACAACTGCACAATAAAATATGACATGCTTATTTATTCGTTGTCGTGTGTTTATGCAAATGCGATAGTCAAATATATAAATTGGACAAAAATTATTTTAAATATTGCCAAAATGGAAAGACGACGCTTAAGTCAAAGAAAGTGTAAACAAAATGCACTCGAAATACACGAGCCAAAAAATAAAAAGCATTCAACACGTGAAGAAAATAAAATATTTAATGAAGACCAAGGTCTTGACACAAGTAATTGCACTGATAAACCGTCGTCATCCTTTGAAAATCTTGATGATTTATTGAATCCCTGGAAAATGTTTAATTCTGCGATAAGACAATTTAAGAATAGTCGGTTAATGTTTGACTACATGTTTCAAGCGTTGCGTTTTTTAAAAGGGCTGGTTTCGCAAGAATATTATGATAGGTTTTTACCTGAATTGAAAGATTTTGATTACTATGTGTCGTATTATAAAGATGCATCTAGAGACATACAACAAGTTTTACCTAATTACAAAGGGGAAGACGATGACTGCTATAAATTTAGCCCACTAAGCGGACAGTTTAACGCTTTCATTAAATCTCTATTTACTATACAGTTGGATTTTTTTGTAAACAACTATTGTATTATACCAGAGGAGCATAGAGCACAGATCGTTGAAAAAAAAGATGTATATCAAACTTTTTTCACACAAAAAGGGACGCGCCATACAGTAAAAGACAAATTTGAAGTCGTACAACAATTGGAGGAAAATATTGAATCGCTTATACGAGAAATCACT